ATCTCACAACTCTGACAGCCTCCTTCAGTCTCCATCCTCACCTTCCTTTTAGCAATTCCACCCTCAAAGAAGCCTTGTTTGTGCACCTCGGTGGCAATTATCCCCCCACCTTTACTTCTTCAAAGCAACCACCGGAAAGACTCCACAAAAAGAGATGTCCTTGTGCCACTATTCCCTCTACACCTACTGCCTCACTTCTAAGACAACAGACCCACAATCCTTATCCAGAGAGTCTCTCTCCTAATGCTTAACTCAGTCCTTTAATGTTATTCTTTACTGCGCTCCAGGTCACCAGTCACTCATCCTCCTGGCATGCCATCTTTGAGCTGACTTTCTTTCTAGGTAATCATATACAAGAGATACAAAAAAAATCTCAACTCATCATCAAATAGTACATCTCTCTATGGTGCAACTTTGTTGCAAAGACATTTTTTAAGCTTATTACTCTGTCCTTGCACTTCTGTCTATGCTCCTCCAGAGCCTGCCTGCCTCCATCTAAAAGCTCGTGCTCCTCCTTCTCACTCTTGAGCCCTTTTATGACCAAGGTCTCTAATAGTCATCATATGCTATTGAGATGGTGATTTTGATTTGCCACTTGCTAAAGCTGTCAAAGGAGAACATTTTTTATTTCTTACAGGCAGACCCTTCATGCAGGAAGGGCACCCTAAACACCTCTCATGTCCACTATTTATTTATCAAAGACTCCCTGAAAATTTCTTCTCAAAAATCCCAGAGTTCAACAACAGTCCAACAGCTGAACCACTAAGACCACTTATCTGTCACAATGGTCAAAACCACCTTAATTTGCTTCCACTTCGTCCCATGCCTCTGTTGACATCTCTTACTGCAGACAGTAAGTTCTTAGTGGCAGAGCCTGTTTTCTGTTCCACGCTTATGTTACAGGCAGCACAGGGGTATCCTGACCTGGTATGGAGATCTCCAACACAGCGTAGCAGCAGCGATGCCTGACCACGCAGCATTAGAGAGAATACAAGGAGTCAGGATCAGAAGGTGGATCATCCTTACCATCATTTGATATTGCACCCAAGCTATGATCAATCTGCAGTGCATGTATTACCAGAACACAATAAAAACAAATGGTTATCTGAAAGTAATTTTACTGTTCAAAATGCAGAAGGCATGAGAGGCATACACCACATAGCAGCTGTCTGAACAGAAATACTACAAAGTTTGAAAGCGTTGTGTGAAGCAAGCTGTAGCTCTTTCAAAGTATGGTCCTTGTGATGACGGAAACCTTCTTTACCACATGTAATTATTTGTGTAAACGAGACCACAGATTTCAACATCTTGTTCTCCCCTTTTCTTTTTTTCTTCTGCTTTACTTTGTTATTTCTTCTGCTTTACTTTGTTATTGCTATCTTTATTCAAATGAATACATGCAAGTAGCATGTTTGCATATAGTAAGATTACTTCCTCCTTCCCCTGCTCTGCCACGCATGCAATTCACTAAATTACAGAAACATGGAGCTGGATCAAGTATAAAACATTCATCACAGATGTCTACTGAATTGTAGGGAAGGGCTTTCACAGCCTGTGCTTAAATATCCTAGAAGGGCTTTCTTTATCATTACATCACTCACTGACAGAGAGACAAATTAGTTTTCTCTTCAGATAACAAGTGACCCATGTCTTGCTTATTACAGCTTTTTATGCTTTGAAAGTCAGCTCCTCCCTCAGTATTTTCTTCCTGGGAAAAAAAAATCCTTCAACTTTTCTCCTCATAGATCACTTAAAAGTCCATTTCCTCTATTTCTACTGTTCTTTACACATTTATCCTCATCCTTCTGCAAGCTCAGGCCACAGCATTTTGGCTGAGGTCTCCACAGCACCAGGCAGAGGAGAATAGTCATTTCCCATGTCCATTTAGTCTCTACATCCCAGAACATCTCTCACTGGAATTCAAAGCGCACAAACCCCTTGCAACAGATTTTTTGCTTATAGTTACATTTTAACTTCTCAATGACCTGTTATATTATGACCTTACAGAAAAAATATGAATGTTAAAAGTTGTCCTGTTTTCAGCTGAGAGGATCGATTTTCTTCATAGTAGCTAGTGTGGGGGTATGTTTTGGATTTGTGCTGGAGACAGCATTGATAATATAGAGATGTGTTTGTTCTACGGACTTATTGTTGAGCAGTGTTTACATGGGGCCAAGGCCTTTTCTGCTTCTTGCACTGCCCTGCCAGCGGGATGGCTGGGGGTGCACAAGAAGTTGGGAGGAGACACAGACAGGACAGGTGACCCAAACTAACCAAAGGGATATTCCATACTATATGACGTCATGCTCAGTTTATAAGGAGCTTGGGGGAAGAGAGAGAGGGGAGCGGCGGCGTTCGGAGCGATGGCGTTTGTCTTCCAAGTAACTGTTACACGTGACAGCCCTGCTTTCCTGGAGATGGCTGAACACCTGCCTGCCCACGGGAAGTGGTGAATGAATTCCTTGCTTTGCTTGTGCGTGCGGCTTTTGCTTTACCTATTAAACTGTCTTTATCTCAACCCACGAGTTTTCTCACTTTAACTTTTCCAATTCTCTCCCCTATCCCGATGGGGGGAGTGAATGAGCGGCTGTGTGGCGCTCAGCTGCTGGCTGGGGTAAAACCACGACAAAATGCAGTATGAAACTCGGTGGTAAACCTAAAACCCATGCTCATGTGTAGCTCCCCCCACCTACATAAAAGCATTTTACAGCTTCCATTTGGAAACAAGCAGCATTAGCTGAAGAAAACATAAGTACCACCCAGAAAATTCTTCACTAAATTAGAAGAATTATTTAGCTTATTTAAAACAAATATTTCCTTTATATTGCCGCCTTGCTGTAAGTTTAAAAGATCTAAATCACTGTAAACACTTCCTTAAAAGAAAGTCCCTATAAAAAGCTGGAGACTCAATAGCTTGTAAATATGACTAAAGAACATAAATGTGTATCTACTCAGTCCAAATACAAATGTAGCATTGCAGATCTCCAGAAGGAACAGAATTCATGTACATAAATCAATTTCTAGTTGGAAGGTCACAACAAAGTATTAGATAGTTAGAAATTACTGTGAATACTCACTTTTAAGAACAGGAATAAAAAAACACCAAGCTTTGCATCATAGGAATTACTGAGTCTTCACTAAGTACGGAAGGAGCAGCTCAGAGCTAGTCTGAAGTGATCTTTATTTTTTGGTCTCTCCACAGTTATGATTAACTCTTTCTCCCTCATTCCTCCCAACACCAAAACAATATATTCGCTTTTTAATAGCACTATCCACCACCGTCTCATAAATTTTTTTTGCTTTGTAAATCCAAGGAGGCAATGGGACTGGGCTTCCAAACGAACAGCAGCAGGAGCTGTGACCAGTGATGTCCCCAGTCCTTGATCAGACACTCAGCAACTGATTTTCCCATTTTCCTTTTTTTTTAATCCTTCCTCAACGCATTGCAAGACATTACTAAATCCATAAAACAGACAATACTGTCAACTCTTAGTTATGTAAAGGTGCTGGAATGCCAAAGATGAAACGTGCAATGAGAGTGTAACGGGGATAAGTTACCAATACAATTGACTGCAGCAAAAACCAGTTTTAGTCCCAACAGCCAGTGAGGGCATAATTAGTTCTCTCTGTATTCATAGTGTATGTTTCATCTTTAGTTCAGCAGAAGATGCAACATCAACAGAAGATTAAGGATTAGCAATACACCAGCTCTCAGCAAGGAGAGGCCTCACGGCTTTGAGGGGGCCCTACCTCTCCACTCCACGCAATGGACATGTGCTCCTTTGCACTCTCACATACACAAGAGCTGCCAGGTAAACACACTGCCTCCTTCCCAGACTCCTCATTTGTTCCCAGAATCAACTACTTCCGAGCTCCTCCTGCCCACTGGTGCGCTGGTGTATTATCCACTGAAAAGCAACCACCTGCCTACCTCTCTCCCACATGTAACGGATGCCTGGCAGACTCAATACTGAATCACACGGCAATCGCTCTTAGAAACGTGCTGTGGGTGGTCTTGGTTATGTTCAGGATGTCATAAAAACAAGCTGGAACTGTCAAAACAAGTATCCTTCTCTGAATTTGCTATTAGAGTGGTAATTCACAGACAAAGTTTTCATGACAACGTTTTAGTTCAAAACTGCAATAAGGAGAAAGAAAAAGGCCCCTTTTCAGAAAGCAACAATATTTTCCAGTCATTTCTGAAGATTTGGCTGGAGTAGAAGAGATGCAAGCCCTTTTTTCCCCTCGCCTCCCTCAATCTACAATCCTACAAAACCCAGGGATTTACTTCTAGCCCCTTCAGTCTGGCATGCTTTATTTATAACCCTCTTACCGCTCCTATTTAATCTTTTCTTGGGACTGTGCACAGAGCTACAGCAAGTCATGCAACCCACTAATCTCCACAAGGAATGCAGGAATAATAAGTAAATAAATAAGGATGGATTCAGGACAAGCAATGGCCACAAGGTATTTCTAGGAATTAAACACACCATCCTCTTTCTTACAAGCTGCTTTCACACAATGTCTATTTTGGTAGGATTAGAGCTGGATAGTGGAGAACTGCATTATTTTTTATTTGTTTAGGCTGGTGGGGGGGCGGATATTTTTTTCCCAAGTTGCAAAGCAGACGGAGAAGTGGTAATATTAGAAACTTGACATTTTGCACTCATTCACGTTTTTATACCAAATGGGATTCCTTTGATGATTATGATGATCTTCTGTTTTGCATGATTTTACTTAAAGATTTTTTCCTATACTCTGAAGGCCTAACATCATGCAAAACAGAAGAGCATCATCCAAGTTCTATGGCACACTTAATTTGTAACAAATTCTTAATATCTCCCTCTGTTCTGCTTGCTTTTTTTCAGAGTAACAAGGAAGTTTCATAGTCAATGCATATGAGTTTTAAAACATATGCCAGCTAAAGATAGTCATCTGATCTTTGAAAGATACTTCGCATGTAGGCATTGCACTTTCTCAGAAAAGCAAACAGAACTTACCCTCATCTGTAGGGTTGAACCCACAGATATCACAGATACATCGAACCCACTTATTCATCTCCTCCTCGCTGTCTGCTACCAAATAGAAAACTCTGTCTATCGTGTTGATATCAAAAATATAACTGTTTTCAAACTCTTTTTTGTTGAACGTTAATCCAGCATCCACTTGTTGACACAAATTTAAGTCAATAATACGGATAGGCTTCTTGGCATGGTCATTTTTGTAGTATTCCAATACATCCGGATCCCCCGTTAAACGGCCGCTGCGAAGCACAAACCATCTCCTCTTCCATGCCTGAAAATTAGAGAGAGAAAAAAGGGAGAAAAATTAGAAGGAAAAAATCATACTTTAAGACCATTACCTTTTGTGTATGGTTTCAACCTGGGTTGAACTGAGTAATAATAAGTAGTTCAACTATAATTCTAAGAGATTACATACCAGTTACCTACATTTAACACTATTTATGTATTGTTATAGCAGTGGACTAGAGGGTTAGTGAATTTGTATTTTAAAGTTTATTTCTTCTGTATTTGAGTTTTGGTTTTAAGAAGGGGACATAATTAAATCTCTGTTTATAAAATGAGAAAGGATGAATCCAGTAAAGAAAAAAAGGGGGAGGGGGCCAAGAGAGGGGAAAAAAGTGCACACAAAGAAATTCTGAAGGAAGCTGACGTAGGCATGGGGAAGACAAAATAAAACATATCTTTAAGTGCTCCACAGGGTCTTGAGTCTACTATCTGCTGCTTCGGGCTGATGCATTTTAACTCTGAATTTTTCACTGATACTCAATGATAGCAACCTGCATTTAAAGAACAATGGTCACATTGTACACTAGCCTCAATGTTAGGGGAACTCTGCACTCAGAACCTCATGATATTTCTACATTAGTACTTACAGAAAAAGAGCTACTCTATTATTTTGGAAACCATTAGAGAGATGGGGATGGAGAAAATGACCAAACGTTGTAGCTTTACTGCATAAAAACAGTCTCTGTGGAAGGTATGTTCACAGAAGAGAGACATTTCACAATCTGATGCCGTGCTTGTTATACCAGCCTTCCTGCTGCTGCAGGGAGAAAGAAGCTGGTATGGGAGAAAAGCACAACTAAAATGCCTCATCTTCCAACTACTTTTCAGCTGCCTTTCATTCCCCTGGGCCTCCGTCACCTGGCATAATTCTTGCCAAAGATGCCAACTCAAACCAAGAAGCCAAAGTTGACATACAACTGTCCTGGCATTACCAACAGCATCTTTATTGCCCCACCTAGCTGCATTTTGGTTCCTCAGCTCTACCAGCAATACAGCATTCTATGCTCTAAGCTTCCTTACATGCACAAAGGCCAGGATAACACGCATAGTAGAAGAAACCAGACGGACTGCCATTGCCCACTAGAAGAGCTGCACTGCATTCACAAGTAGAAATCTGAAATTAGAGCCTGGACACAGTGCAGAGCCATCACTGCTTCGGCCATTGATTTTCACACTTTTCAGCAAAGTTGGAGACCAAGTAAATCAATGCAGTAGCCAAGCCACCACCTGTTACACCACAGGCTAACACCATGCCCCAAGGCACCCCATTTAAAACTTCTTTACGATATTCAAACAATGTCACCAGTCACCAGAAGGACAAAAAACAACAGAAGAAATAAAAAAAACAAACCAGGTGAGAGATCTCCTTTTGGCCAGCCCTGGCTGCATGCTAACCAAGGAAAGGAATGAAATCAGCAAGGATGGTCCCAGAAGAGGTCAAGATGTGTGATGTCCTTTACACTCTGGGGCACAGCTTTGAAAACAAGAGTTTCTTACTCTCTTAGGAAAAAATTCAGACCCATTTTCTTGGGACACAAGAGCATTTCCATTTCATTTTTATGTAGCTGTTCCCTTCAGACAAACTACTGTGGGGAGGATATGAAGGACAATGAGTGAGAACTGCATTGCCATCTTCCAGCTCTGAACTAGCATTGTCAGCTTTGCAGTGGAGACTCACAAAATCACCACTGACAAGTGGGCATGCCCGTTTTGAGTCTCAAACTTAGGAAGCTATTATGAAAAGATAATACAGAAAACAGGAGAAAGGGAAAAATGCCAGACAGCTTCATTAAGGCTTGTGATCCACTGTCCAACTACCAAGCCTCTAAAAGTTATTTGATTTTAAGATAACTTTTATACTTCATAAGACGAGTCTGTTATTGCAGTTGTGATTACAGCATCTGCATTTAAATGCTGAACTGCGTGAATCAAGCCAAGGTCTCAAGCAAATCTTTCCACAGTAGCAGTAAGTTTAACTGGGTGAGCAGTAAAACACAGAAGTAGATGATGTAACTGACGAAACCCCTTCAATTAAGATTTCAAACGCGAGCATCTTCTAGCAGCACAGCTGATAAGCACTGTTTAACAGCGACCCAAAAACACTGGCAAAGTTTGTTCTGTTTCCTGTTTCCAAATCAAGTGACAACTTAGATGCTGGGATAACAGGAAACTTCAGTATCAGAGGCTCTCTCTCCAGACAGGGTCTATCACAGATAACTGTTACAAACCAAACTGCACAACTCTATTGCTTCAGAAACTAGCTTTATCTTTAACCTCAGCCTTCAGTCATCCAGGTGAAATTTTCAAAGCTTAAGTGATGAAGAAAGAGATTAGAGATAGGAGAGGGACAACAGCAATTGAGAAGCACGATGCATTTTGTCTCACGATTTGTGTAACGACAAAAAAAATCAACTCTGTACCAACCAAGCGTGCCTCTTCTAGAAGTTTATTTCTAGTACTGTGTTAAGGAGTGAAAGATTCTTAGCAATCCTGACTATCTCTGTTGACCATTAATGAGTAAACACGACTCTTAAAAATTCAGAAAAATCAACCAGCTAAACAAAATTGGCTTTCAGCCCTTTGGGCTACAAAATAGCAACTATAAAGTACTTAACACATTGAATTTAGCCTACCAGCACCTGCTACTATTTTTGAAGAGTTTTCGCATAGTGCATATGTGAATGTTTATTTCAGTCATCTAATGAGTCACACTCACTGAAACTGGCACAGATTATATTCAAAAACAAAAGCAATTCCATAAACTACACACTAATAAGGCAGATACAAAGGTTCTCTGGATTACAGTACAAAGCACAATTTAGCAGCAGAATAAAGCTTAAAGCTAGACAAGCGAACTGACATCAGCACCCTTGCTAATCATAGTACAAAAGCGCCTCTATATTTTGTCAAAGTGCAAAATGAGCCCACATAAATCACTCTTTGTTATTTGAAAATATCTGGGATTCTTAAAGCTTGATCTATTTTTAACATTTCAGTATTTGTCGTCGTAACGAAAGCTGTATACTGCCTCACTGAAGCACAGAATACTGTGCTATATGTATAAGAAGAGGGCTTCTTCAGTAATGGCTTTCCAAAAAAAAAAAACCCTCTAAAAGAGCGTGCACATGTGCAAATACGTATTTATGCAATTTTATTTTTTTTTATTTTACCCCTTTGGGCATTCGTGTTCAAAATTTTTGCATTTTCTTTTACAGAGCATGTAACAGACTATTTCTCATAATCACCAAAAAAGATGCAACTGGTTTAAGGCACAAGAAAATTACAGGTACTAATTATCTGTCACGTTACTGATGTTATCAGCAACACCAAACACTGGTTTTCTGTGCTAAAAAAGTCAACTGCATTAAGTTTGAGAAGTCAAAAAAAAATAGCCAGTATGGAATAGAAACATTTTGTCCCAATACCAATATCATTTAATTCTAGAAAGATATTTGAGCAAATAGAGAAAAGGTGGGGGTTTTAAATGAAATATTTTTTTTCATGTGTATAAAATGTGCATTATTAATATAAATAGGGTTTTAAAAACATATTTTATAAAAACACCTTTTATAAATACACCTAGTTACAAAATACCACATGGAGATCAAATACCTCATTCAGAAGTAAAACTGTTCCTTTCAAAGGTGTAGTATGGCAAACGTCATGGGAATCAAGTTCACCAAAAGCCTGTGTAGGCTTTGTAAATTATTACAAAACAAGGTTTAACGAGGTTTGCTGCTTTTGTTTCAGACTAAGAAAGGCTTTGTCTGCCTCTCAGCTTGTTTTCTCCTTTGAGCTGCAAAGCGTATCAGCTGGCCTAACATAGGACATCACCACTCTTGCCAAACATTGTCCCGTTTGTATCATGAGACCATCGTATCATGAGACCATCATAACTATAGAAACAAGCTTGTTTGCTTGTTTTTGAGGTAGTCTAAAATGTGACAAGCTGCTCACCCACAGAGCATCAAATGATCAAAGGAACAGTGGAATTCTGTATTTTTCACACAGCATTTTGAGTAGGTTACAAAGCAAACTCAAGAAATTCCTACGATTCATTTTTACACTCACATATACACAAACTGCTGATTTTAAGACAAGTGAATCAGCTCAGAAATTGGCAGAAAGCATTATTTAGCAGAGTTAGGGTTTGGTTGGGTTTTGTGGGTTTTTTTGAAAGACTGTAGCTAAACCTATACGCACTACACAGGATTTACAATATAATCTCCTTACAAGAGATATATCTGTTGAAGAAGGTATAGCTATACATCCCTTAACCTTTACATTTATGGATTTTTATTTTCCCCATCATATATATTCGAGATGTACCTCATTCAGCTGCTGGCTGCAGTTCAAAGATGTAGGAAATAGGGGATGTATGTGTAAATGGAGAGGGAAAGGAAAGAGGAAAGGGCAGGAGAGTAGATCATTCACATTTATACTTTTAAAAGGGTTTAAACTTCCATTTGGATCCCCTCAAACTATTGCTCAAGAGGCCAAAATAATTACAAAAAATGTTTAAATAAAAGCTTAGAAATGTTAAATCAAAGACAGCTTTTTCTGGTCTTTTTTTTTTTTTTTTTTTTTTAACAGCATTTGCTCTCATGTGGTCAAGTAACTCTGCTTACTGCTGAACTGGCCAATTGTCCTTCTTTGGTTTGCTAAGTATTATTACCCATAATCCTCACATCATTTAAAGCTGATTTTCCTCTTCTAGCCCATTTACCACCTTTCTTCTCCTCTTGGGTAGCATCCAGTCCAAAATACCTCCAAAACTATTGAGCATTGGCTAAGCAAAAGAGGGTATCACTTACACCCCGCTCCAGTAATACTGCTAATAAATCCTTCCCCCATGTATGACCAGTAGACCCAAGAATAAAATTACAAATCTCAGACCTTCCCTCTCATCTCTCAAGCGTGCAGACATTTGTGCTTAGGTTTTCATCTCTGTATTCCAGAGAGTACTTTAAAAGGGCAGTA